TTTATTTGAACATAAAAATTAGAATATAATCATTTTCAGTAATTATTTAAAATTATACACTTAAAGTACATTTATAGTAAATTCAATAAAAAAATACCAGTGCAGACGAGATACAAAAAGAGAAAATATTGTTGTTTAATTACATCGTTGGTTAAATACATCGCTTTCAGTAAATGCAATACAAAATGAAATTGGAACATAGAGAAAACATAGTTAAAACGTCACTCGTTATAGAAAAATAAAGATAAGATTGAATCACATTCAAAAATTACCCACTAGTGACTAAAAATTTACTTTCTTAAACGTTTGTTCAATAGAGGGTTTCGCTCGGCGCACCGTGTACGGCCAGCAGCGATCGCAGGTTAGAATCAATCCATCAATACTAAGAGGTCATGTATCTACTTAGTACTACGCCGGTGGAGGCTCCTAGCTGCCGCAGTACACCGAGCGGACCCTCTTACGCGCTAGAAATAAATGTTTACATGTCATCAATTCTAAATAAGATATTTTTTTCAACATTGTACTCTGATCGGTACGAATATTAGACTATTCGACGCCGGGACCGCGCTGACGGCACTGCGCCTCCGCCTTTTTACGCGAGTCTCATACATAATTAATTTATCAAGAACATACAGTATAAATAGTGAGGTTAGTATTAACTTTGGCAAATATGAATGAAGCACGGTGATATCGTTTTAGATCGACAACATTGTGACAAAGATTCTGCGTTATCATTAAAATTATTAACCGAACGTCGCTCAATTCTCTCTTCGACGGCGTGTCGGGTAGTCGCACTTGCCACATGATAATTATTAAAGATACCTATTATGACCCGATCACTAACGCTAAACCTTAAAAAAACTCTCGTAATAAACTTTCCCCCGTCGCGGATCTAATAAAGCGCGAGAACGTCTGAGCCGCAACAATTCAGTCTTCAAATAAGAAGCCAACGCACAGACCACGTGACGTGACGTGACGCAATCGCACTGTCCTAGTGGTCGCTTTGAGCTCGTCGACGGGTTGATTTACAATTGTGCGTACTTAGCGTAAAAAACGAACGCGTCGTGTGTGGCTTGTGCGGTTCGATCACTGTCTCAAATCTTATAAACTAAATGTGATTCGAGCGAATAAAGAATGCGGCAGTGTACAAAATTTACATCACATTCACTCGAAATATAAAGCATACAAGTTATGTTCAGCGGCGGAGGAACACATCGAAATGCAAAACTGACGACGCCGACTCACACACGCGCTGCATCGGCTCGGCGGGAGCGCTGTACGGAATACTCGAAACAGGTTCGTCGCAAACGTATCACCGTTTAGCGTAGCCTAAACCCGACAGGGTAGCATCCCACACGTTAAACCCGCCGCACGGATGAAGCCATAATCCAACAGACAAGACATTCGAACGATTAAATTCACATCCACCACCATTCACTCGTTTCAAAACCATTAATGTAGTGTGAAGCTTACTTAAATGTAGGTTTCGGGTCGAATGTAGAACTGCGCTAATATTATTTTTATTAGTTTTACGTACACATATTGTTACATAACAGTAAAAAACCTACCTAGCAACAAGCGAGCCGCGCTCGAGCGCGGGCCCCCGCCCTGCTGCCGCCGGCTTTTACATTGAGCATTTCTTACAAATTTTGATTAGTGTCCGTTAAATGGGTGATAGACGTGTTAGTAAGTACGAGAACTTGTGGCTCGCCGACCTTTTTCGCTCGTGTGTCACCGTAAGTACGCGTACTATAAAATTGTCGCGCAAATTTGAAATCTTACTCGTAGCTTGTCTAGGTTCCCGCATGTTGCAGCATTGCGAGCTCAGGCATTCTGTAATAATTACGGAAATCTTCCTTTTCAACACGTAACTCTCTTACTAAATTCACATGTGATAAACGTTCTTTTCGGAAGCCAGTTCTTTACCTACACTTTTCGATTTCGTTTTTTTTTATTATTATTAGTTTCCACCGTCGCCGACATCGCAATACAGTGTGAGTATATCTTGTGTCACCGCCGTCGAGCCGTGTAAGTTTGCGATCTCAAAAACCGCGTACATAAAGTTCGTACGTCTATCACCCACTTTAGAGCGTCGTTTCCGGCGGCCGGTACCGGCGTCCGGCGTGAGGCCCGCGCGGTCACAGTGTAGGCGTTACATTTTCATTTAATCACTTTTTACATACTCATAAACGTAAAATGAAAATAAAATCACCTAACTATGACGATAGTAAAGGTTTTACTGTCTAATTGCATTATTAATTAATGTTTATTGATACAGTTACTGCCCTAATGCTTAAAGTAAGATTTTAATTTTATTATTAATAATAAATTATGTTATATAGTATATATATGTATAGTGTTTGATTACGCCATATCGCGAGTGTATACAAAGTTTATATACTCACATAGCTTACAAAAGTCTCGCGCGACCGCCGCTTGCGATACTCACAAACCTTACACAGAGACGCCACGCACCTTCACAAAATAAGATTAACATGACATAAACATTGGTTAATCACTTAAATACGAAAAACTAAACATGATACGTTTACATATAACTCCTTTAATACAAACATATTATATGCTAGATAAAATAAATATGTTACACGATTTTCATATTTGAATACAAGAATAGATCTTATGTGGCTACACCTAAAGGTTAACTGTAAAGTGATATAGAAAAAATATAAACACAAGAGATATTAAAAATTGTATTATATGGCATAACAAATCAATGCTCTTGTAGGAGTAAATAATTTGTGCATAAATATGATCGTCTTAAATTAATATAGTAACACTTCGCTCGAGGATGAAACCTGGGCCTTAGCTTAAAACGATTCAAGGTGTACAATTATAAAATAAACACTACCATCTCAAATTCAATAGCGGTCACAGTGTGCATTCAAAAGTTTTATAAAAAAATAATTTCTCATCGTAAGCGATATACTTAATAATGGAATGATGCTTTGCTTTCAGTTTTAAGTAGGCCTGCGAACATATTCTCAAATGCATCTCACTACCGTGTTATCAGTAATAAATATTGGTTCCATACTGTTATTGGTCCGTAAGAGAGTGAGTATATAAGCACGTACGATACCTGAGCTCCCGAGTGACATCTCGCTCACGCGTATAGCCGCGTCTCGTTCTATCGACGCAGACCGCACGGATTCGCGCCGACCAATAGGGATGATGACAATTTTTTTGTGTTTGTTTGTCCATCAGGTAGATAATTGAAAAATATTAAACACGCATTTTTTATTTTTTGCGTAATCAATAAAGTACTGCGATATATTGACTTGGAGAGTCGCATGACGTCACGCTTTTGTACATTTTCTACCAATTTGTGACATAGCAAATCCTCTCAACTTTAACGCTTATTATCTAAGCCATTACTGTTCAATTGAAGCAAAAAAAATATACGTATCTAATGTTTTTCTATTATCTAATTGATGGACTTTTACCCAGTCACCATCCCTATTACTACACCCTAGCACCAAAATTTAGAATCGAACACTAAGATCACTAATCCACATTCGTCGAGTACTGTTCTATAAATATTAAGCAGCGGCGTCACGCGCGCGGTTCTAAATAGAAAATAACAAACGGTTTATATTACAAGGAAAGAAAGTGCGTTGCGAACGCGTGCGGACCGATGCGGATAGTAGCGATGTGTCCGATAACCTTATTCCAGTACTAATACACGAAGCAACATTACACAGCGCTCCCATTCTCGGCCGCCACTCTTGATATGCTTATACGTTGATTTCTTTCAGTAAAATCTACTACGAAACTTGTTTGAATTGTTTTCAGAACATCTAATCCAAATCGATATAAAAAAGGATTGAATATTATGTGACTTTTACCGTTTGCAAAAAAAAAGAAAAAAATGAAAAACCGAAAGTGATAGCTTAAAAATAGGATTTACCTAATATGATTTATTAAAAAAATAATCCACATCTACATGCACTCAAATGCGAAATATGGTTCAACAGAAATAAATACTTTATAATAAATAGCCTTTTTCTCAAAACATGAGTAAATAGAAGGTAGAATGTTCTTAGTGACGATATGGTAGTTCAGTTTTGAAATGTGGAAGAAGAATTCTCACAGAGCAATCCATTATTTCAATAGTTGTGGTATATTATTTTTTATCTAATTTTCACGATGACAAAGGTAGAATGATATAGTTTATGACGTATATACACGAGTTCGTCAAGTGCCAGTTGGATGTCATACCATATCAACATATTGGTAACTAAAAGCAGTAAATAGAAGTATGAATGACGATACGAATTACAGTATTGGTTATTCTTCATATTGTATGCACAGTTAATTTGACATTCACTGCATATTTTTTAACTAGGATCGCTCTTTTTTGTGTAAAAGAGTTTATATAACATAAATGCAAATCGCTTTAAATTGAGAGAAAAAGCGCAGATGACTGATTGATTGTATTTATCTCTTCAAGTATGCTTAAAACATGGGAGTTTTATAGCTTTATAAATATGGTGATGATAATTTTTGAAATAATTAAAAAATAAAATTTTTTATAATACTAGCTGATCCGGCAAACTATCCCGCAGCATAACTAAAAATGTGTTAAGTTCAATAATATTAATTTCTAAGGTAGGGTACGAAAACAATTGTTGCTTTTATTATTTTCCATGCATTCATATTTTAAATTAGCCAAATCGGTCCATCCGTATAATATTCGAGTTTTAGTGAGACTAACAAACCTTATTCAATTTTTCTTTATACACGAGCATTTACAATGGAGTTTTTGAATGTTAATACGCCATTATTCTCGGAATCCTACTCGAGGAGACCTAGTTATGTCGTTATAAAAATTGAAATCGGAAACAAATGAAACGAAATCGCGTCTATCCAGAGTGACGTAAACTGCCGAGACGTTGGGAGCGCAGCGTACTGAACAAGAACAGCACGTGGTGGCCACTCGCGAGCTTATCCGTGTTGGGGGCTGGTGGTGGGGGGCAGGTGGGGGGTGTGGTGGGGATGGTCTAGTAGAGGCCGCAGCCGCGCAGGTTGTTGGCGATGATGACGTCAGTGACGGCGTCGAACACGAACTGTATGTTATTTGTATCGGTGGCGCAGGTCATGTGGCAGTATATCTCCTTGGTGGTAGACTTGTTCTTAGCTTCGAACTGTGCCTGGATGTAAGCGGCCGCCTCGCCGTACTCTTGCGCGCCTGCAAATGCGCAAGATATCATCAGCAGGCTTACTCTTGAACGCAAGCTTGAGATTTAATAACGATCTCAATTTTCATCAAATCTTAGCTCATAATCTTGAAATATAGACTCAAATTCAATGGTTTGAGCCAATTGGTGCTCGTGTACGGAATCAAAAGTATGAAACTTTACAATTACAATGTCGATCATTCGCGATTGCGTTCAAGAGTAAGCATGCAGATATATTAACCCATTTATGTCCCTCGATTCGAAAACGAACAATACTGTCTTATACACAGATCTATTTTCATATTTATTGCCTATAATACATTAAATTATCTAATACCAGAATGCATTATCTACAAGTCAAACCGATGAAAATGTAAATTCAAAAGATGCTTTCGGTTAAAAAATAAACATAATAGTTACTAATAGAAGATCATCAACTTCATCAAAAATTACATTTTTGTTACGTTGTCGAATCAAGGGGCGGATAAGGAACCGTATATATGCGCATATAATCAGTAATTTTCAATTGGTTTTGTTAAAAGAATAATAGAGTACAAATATAATATAAGAAAGCTAATATAAGAAAACTACAATTTATTTCTAAGGGTTCACCAGAGTCAAAAAGTGAATTTGTAAAATTTTCTCAGTAGAATACAATCACAAAATTAACCTAAAATAGTTTTTTCTATTGCTCACGTAATTATATAATTTTATATGGAGTTTGATAAATATGTGAATCACTTTGTAGCCGGGGGGTTTAAGAAGATCTTTTACAATTAAAGACTTAATTCATTTTTGTTTGATTGTGATTAAAATATTAAAAATACAAAATAGTTACCTGTGTATTCAGGAAAGCAGATGGTGAGCGGTGATTTGCGTATCTTCTCCTCAAAAAGATCCTTCTTATTGAGGAACAAAATGATACTGGTGTCCGTAAACCACTTATTGTTGCAGATAGAGTCGAAAAGCTTTAGACTCTCCTGCATGCGATTCTGTAATAGAATATTTAAATTTAGTATTATACATGCATGAAGAAAATACTTCCATACAAAGGCAAGTGTTTTTGTTAATTTCTCGGTCTTTCACATCGCAAGGGAGTGTCGTTATTGTATTATTTTTGTGAGAATATGGTTTATGAATAGCCACTAGAAAATAAATCAAGTGCGAGTCGGAATATGAACTCTTGTTCAAAATAGCGTTTACCTGCAAAAGAGATGCTGATCTGATCTGATCAAGACCTGATAAAGACCTGATAAGATACTGATAAGAGTACGCAAAGAATTGTTATCTGGTACTATAAAGAGGATAAATTGGATTGTTTGCAATGAATAGGCTTCAAAACTACTGGACCGGTTTTTTAAATTCTACATCATATGCGGGTGATATTATTTGCTGTAATGTATGCGGGCTGTGTCGCGGGTAACCAGTTAGGTTTATATATTTTGCCAGACCTATTGTTCCGCGATGTACGACGATCGACGGATATTTCGCTACATATGCACCGACCTTAAAAGTTAACAGAGACATTTTGGAAGAATGTCGGACGAAAGTATGATAAAATTGATATACAACGGGAAATTGGAAAGATGTAGATGACAGAGAAGGCTAAGACACACCTTTCACGATCATACAGATCACGTGTAGTTTGTGATATCAAAAGCTATATGTACGGCGAGCAAGTATAACAAGAGTTGTGAATATCAAGGAAACGAGATTTGTGTAAAGAGTATTGTAGCACTCGCATTTTATATTATGTCACTGTCACACCTGTCCTAGCGCCAGTGACAAAAAAATGAGAATCAAAAAAAAATTTATCTTAGTATGGACATTTGATGAGAAGAGATCATTTGTATGTAACAAAAATGGTTACGAGGAAGGAAATTTAAGGAGAGGAAGACTGAAGGAAGACCGATGCTCATATCGTATCTTTGGTTTTCTTGAAAATTCTTTGTACATAATATTTTTATACCGTTTTCACCAACTAGAAATCACGTAATATTAAGAATAGCATAAACAGATTTGTCGTTTCACCAAACCTGTAAAGTCACGTAACGCCTAAGCATTTGCTTAGATAGGCAACGTTTGTCTATGATTTTGCACGCTTCAGTTCTTCTTCTTTCTTTAATGTGTAGTCTATTTGCGTTTACACAATTCCGCCAATATCACGTTAGTCGCTTTTACACGTAAAGAGACTAATAAAAAAATATATTTGAGCTAATAACACAAGAAAAATTATACGTGGTCTTGTATTAACATGAGCACCCAAGTCGTCATTGTACATTTATAAAAAGTCAGAAAATTCAAAAAAAATCATTGTTTATATCCTTATTTCAATATATAAACTCCTTGATTCCAACTTAATAAATTGATTTTATCCCTTTACACATCCGTTATGTTATGGTCAAAGAGTAAATGTATCTGTCACATTACGCAAATGCCCAGCGCAAGACGCCGCATAATGCATGCCCTAACTTTAAGAGTTGCTTAAAGTCGTTAGGTAGCTCCTAACGACTCCTAAAGACACATTTTCATCTTAGACAATGCCCAAATATTTAAGTGTCAGATTTGGGCGACTGCTAAGTTTAGTAAAAACTGGTATTAATGAGACAACTTTTTATTATTATTCTATTCTGATAAGTCATTGGTTTCGGCTGCATGGGCAGTTATTAAGATCCACATGATATTATATCCGTGGGACATTGATGACGATACCAGGACCTTAATAAACGTTTGTGCAACTGACCGTTAGAGTGGTACAACAGAATTGGCACCATTGAAGGTATATTTACAAGAACACTTCTATATTGTCTCGGGTGTTGTGTTGCCTTCGTTGTCTCAGATACTCCATAATATGGGGGATTTAACTACTCATCTCGGAATGTGGTCAATGTATGTGATGTTGTTTAATATTATTATTATGATTACCGGCTTTCGGCTTCACCCACCTGTAAATATTTTAAGTTTTTGCAATAGAGCTATGCTATGTCCTTTCCCGAGGTCAAACGTGTACTAAATTTCATTAAAATTGGTTCAGTAATTAAGACGTGTAAACGCAACACACATTTATAATTCGACCGACGACCTCCGTAGCCAAGTTTCAAGGTGTCGCCATCTCTGAGGTCCCGGGTTCGATTACCGGACAATTAACTTTTCTATATTGTCTCGGGTCTAGGTGCTGTAGTACCTTCGTTGTCTCAGATACTCCATGATCCCGTACTTAAGTTACTCACCTTGGAATCTGAGCAATGTATATGATGTTGTCTAATATTTATTTATTTATTATGAATGTATTACCGTTGTTTCATCCTCGTGCAACACTTGGTCGTACTCGGACATGGCGACGCAGAATATGATCGCGGTCACATCCTCGAAGCAGTGGATCCATTTCTTTCTCTCAGACCGCTGTCCGCCAACGTCGAACAATCTGTAATCATAGGTGAATTAATTATATACCCGTTTCTCCTCATTATAACAATGTTATTGTCCACAAAACAAATGAAGAGGTGAACGAAACAAAATTTCATAACATTCCGCAAATGAATGACGGATGACATTAGAATTTAGAAGAACAATGGCCAGTTGCACAAACGTCCATTAAAATTGACATTAGTTCAAAGCGAAATTATCCATACAAATTTGACATTCATTAGAGCTTAAATTCGTCATTAAACCCTAATGGACATTTGTGCAACTGGCCATATGACGAGCGTAACGTTATGTTACTTTTGCAGTGGCAAATTTCACTATATCGAGCTCCTCCGTGCTTCGGAAGGCACGCTAAGCCCAAAATTCTCTATGAACAATTTCGAGTTTTGAGCATTTGAATTTGAGTTGGTCCCGGCAGCATCTGCAGTAATTAATAGCAACCTATGTTATTAAAAGAAATAACCTCGTCGAATTCGGGCTCGTTTGATTTCTCTTGACAATATCTCTGGTTAAAAATAATATCAATGAAAGCTATTTTAAGAATATTATATTCGAGTTATTGAACATTTGAGTTTTCAAATCCCGTGGGCGTCATTAGACTGCACAACCACAGTGAAATTATATGTTTAAAGTTATTTGAGACAACCTTGTTATCCAAAAAATAAACTTTTACGGTTCTTTGTAGAAGTAATTGTTTGTTTGGAATGATCCATTTCTGTCCGATGTAGCCGCTTGTTTTACAGTAATAACACTGGAACCCCGACATAACTTCAGCGAATATTGATTTCAATGAAAGGGAACCCGAGCCTGACTGCTCTGAATTTTACAGTGTATGCAATTTAAGAGCTCAGCTGTTCGATGGAATTGACGTTTCCATTACTGAAATAAAAAAATCGAGGCTGAGCCGCCTCGCGCTGTTTGTTTTTGTTCCACAAGCGGAATAAATTAAATCTCGAGATGCAAACTGAATGGTTAATTAATCATCTTTCCGCGAACCAATCACTAGAGCGTGTTTGCACTTTTCTAGAATAGATTCACTTTAATGGAAATATTGCTTTCAATAAAAATGGAATGAAAGCTATTTTTACAATGATTTAATTAATGAAATATGAATTCCATTAATTATAAAGTAGTTGTCGCCGCCAATGAGCGACAAGCTTATATAACCAGGACTTGCATTCTAAAAGCAAACACGTGAATACCGACAATATATTCTAACCACTTCGTGGTATCACATTAGCTCTACTAAAATAAGTAAAACGACTAAAATTGTTTGATAATGAGTTGGTTAGCAGAGGTATAGGCATAAGCTGTATCAACGATAAGGAGCCGCATGGCTACAGGAGTCCTGAAGCCCATGTGTATGAGCAAAAATTTGTTATAAATACTGATGGTAGGCCCGTTTAGGGCACACGCTACGCCACTATTCACTAGCAGTGAAATACAAGTACGATATTTATTTCAAAAGATTTGGCATGAGAAGTGAGTTTACGAGTGCGACTGTCGAATGTTACCAACCAAATATCGTATGAGCGAATTTTATTTGTGATAGTTCTTGTTGCTCACTGCGGAGACTTCCTTTCGTTTGTGCAAACTGATACTAAAACACTATTGGCTACCGACAGTCTATATAGGATTAAACCTATGTTATTAAAGTAAACGTGACGACTACGCACAATTTGCCTTAGGTCATTGATATATTACAATGTAGGGTGTGTCAATCTGCTTCACGTTGTAAGTTTGTCATCATTTTATTGATGACTAAAAATTAGTCACGCCAATGTGTTATGCAAATACGAACGACACGCTTGGTCTAGCTCTATCGAAATCACTTGGGGTTGTATTTACTTACTCGTATTACGCAATAACACCTGAAATTGTATAGGAGAAATATTAACATTAAGTAACCAAAATCACTGTGAGTACAGAAAATTTGAAATGAACTGTAATTTGTAACGAGAAGCTATTAATAATTCATGTTGGGTGGTGTAATTCGGTCAACATTTAATTTAGATAGATAGATAAAAAGTTTATTTCTCAGCAACACACAATTACTTCACTTTACATCACACAAAAGAAACAAAGAAGAACAAGAAGCAGAAATATGCGGCATACCTGTGTGCGGCAGTTTAATTTCTTAAGTCTTTTCCTAGATCTATCTAAATTTCTAAGCGTTTTCCGAAAAAAAAAAAAAGGATTAAAAAGTTATCTTCAAAATTCAACTTTACTACCTTCTTTGAATAAAGTCTTAGTTGATATAGAGTTGAAAGTTGATCTGGAGTATGTCATTGGGATGAGATTAAACAATAATCGTAATAGTTTGAAATTCATTTAAAATATATATTTGTTGCTCTAGATCAGTGATTCCCTAAGTGGTCCAGGTGGACCCCCAGGGGTCAACGAGGGATTCAACGGGGGTCTACGTTGGCGTGAAATAAAAATAGGGTTTCACAAGTTGTAAGTGGGGTTTTGGGAATACGGTAAAAATGTAGCACCAGGGGGGTCCACCAAAACCAGTAAATTTTTTAAAATGGTCTACGAGAAAAAATTGTTTGGGAACCTCTGCTCTAGATCGAACGCTACTTCTTCATCTGTTACTATCTATCTCACTGCATTGCATGTGTATTTAATCTTCACCGATTATCTTTATAGTAAATTTTACTTATGCGTCTGTAATGTACTTCAATACTCACTTGAAATTAAGGTTTTTGAAGGAGAAGTGCACTTCGACAATGCCAGTGGTTTTGACTCTAGTTCTTAAAATATCTTGTTCGGTGGGCTGGTAATCTCTAGCACCTAACCGATCCAGGTCGTCCAGGAAACTGAAAAGAAAAAAACAATACATATTAGTATCATCTGGTACTCTGTATATTCACATACCGCTTTCAATGGTCCGGAGAAACCCTGACACAGTCTAGCTTTTTGACTGCGTGTTCGACCAAATTAGACGGTTTGTGAACTCTATAACTTTTCTTTTAGTTATTATATTTGATCAATTCCGCATTAACAAGCCTATACTGAAAAAGATTCTTAATGAAAAATGCTTAAAAATCCACTTGGTCCCTGGCAGCCTGAGATGGATCCCATTAGATGGTAGATCCCATCTCAGGGTGCCAGGGACCAAGCGGATTTTTAGCATTTTTCGATAAGAAATTTTGTTCTATTTGAATTTGACGTTTTTGAAATATATTTCTACTGTTCGGATCTGGGTTTCCATCGTTGTTTTAGTTTGCGATATGAGCAACGTATATGATTTTGTCTATTTTCTGCAATTTCATAACCATTATTTATTAATACGGAACTGCCACTGGTGTGACCGCACAGAAATCTCCTTTTATTCGGCACAATCATATTCCATTTTCACCCACCGTTTATTCAATTTAGCTTGTGTCAGCGACAATATCAATTCGAACAGTAATAAAGGACCATTTGACGAGTGACAAATATCCGTTCAACTTTTGACCTGATTAAAGAATAATCAGACACAGTTTCATATACTGTTTGTTCAGAACTATAGTACGTAACGATAGAGGAACACAGTTACAGAAGACAACAGCTGTCGAGCAAGTACACAAGCGTCAGTACAAATGGACTGTGACCACGTGCCTTACTGATTAAATACGTAATTGGTATTGTAGAATGCAACTTGTCCAGTGTGTTAACAGGTATAAGGCTAAAAAAATAAGTGTTACCTTACACTTACTGGAATTCTGAACACTTTTTTTGTAAATACTAATTATCATAAAAATTAAACAGTGTAAATATTTTAAGAATGCATCTGAGCAGTCTAGTAAAACCGCTAACGTAAGTTGATAGTAGCCACAAAGGACAGTTGTGAATCTACACTATGACTAAGAGGAGGACTATAAACTTAATAAATTAGTAACATTTGATTGGGCATACTAGCTAATAATGTAGATGCGAAGAAAACGCCGTCTGTCTATTTGTTACGTTTACAATTTAGATGTTTATAATATCATGAAAATAGAGCTTAAAAATATTTTTTTTATAAGATCCTGTGAAAGGTTCGGTCCTTAGGCAAAAGAAAGGATGACTAAGCTTTAAAATTTGATATATTTTATAATGTAAATAAAAAACTGTAACAACAAACAAAAAGAATAAAAATATAATAAGTCAAGTAGTTAGGTAAAACAGTTACAATACCCTTTCTTCGGGATGTAGAACAAATAAAACTTTAGTAATATGTTTACAATTTTAACAAAACTAGCAATAATTATAACACTTTTTTGTAATACAAATTGATGCCATGCGTTACTCAAAATTTCAGATAAAAAAAATGGGAAAAATAAAAATGAAATTATGTTAAAGATCATAGACAAAGAAATTTGGATGTGGGAACCTAGGATGAAATAAACGGTGTAGCACGACGCACCGTTACAACCCAGTCATGTTATAGATAAAAACAACTAAAGATATTAATATATCAGTTAAAGTATATAAACAAAAATGAAACCATTTTCATAAATCGAAACCGACACAATTGCTCGCTACGTGCCACGAATTGCGTATTCCCGTTATTAATTATTCAGCAGTCAGTGATGTAGCACCTACTCGTGATTTCTTTTGTCAACGGTGGCCATAATTTTGGTCCATTTCACACAGGTGAGCCAAACATGCGCACGTGATGCGGCAAAAAATCTACGTGGTGGCTTTAATACGAGTCCGTATACGTTGCATATCGAATGCATTGTTCTACAGTAACAAAACAAAGGATAGACCCACGGTAGAATAGCGGTCGCTCTTGTGTCGGCAGCGATAAATATATCAATATTCAATTTTGTCAGGTGTCGAGGTCTTAATTCTGCAATCATGGCGTATCAGTGTCAAGGATATTGTTACTATATCAAAAAATAACAAACATCTCTATAGTCAATTACTTATAGATTAAACTTGATTGATCCGGGGTGATAATGTACAGACATCGGCCTATTATGTACCCACTGCTGGGAAACAGGCCTTCCCTATGGATGGAATAAAATCGAATCGAATAGGGAGGATGGGCCTATAAAGCACCACGCGTGCCAAGCGTGGATTGATGGCTGATAACGACTGTAGTTGCAGCCGCGACCAACGACTTAACATGCGATAAGGAGCACAGAGGAGCTCGAGATAATAAATCAGAATCGTAGCTCAGATTTAATAGACACAAGACTGTTATGATATTTTCTTCAACATTTTCATATGTTTTATTCCGCTATGTCTCAATGGTAATCATGAACGGTGGCCATTATTCAACTGTCGAGATTCGCTTGAGGCAAACCCGACGTCCGGTGGCGCACCCACCGGCCGCAGTACGAACGCCTGCGATGCATACATAATCTATCAGGCCGACCGCAAAATGCGCACTTCACATCATTAATGCTGCTAATATTTTTATTTATCTATAGTCATATTATAAAGGGTAAAATTTGATTTTTGTTTGTTGCCACCGAATAGGCTCCAAACATACTGGACTGAGTAGTGGACCTATTTTTGAATTCTTTCACCTATGGATAGCTACTTCATACGCGAGTGATATAGGCTATAAATTATGCGGGCGCAGTCGCAGGAACAGCTAGTTTATTATAGCGCAGTTACATATTCTAAACTATAAACATATACTGTGGAGGCAAGTCAGTCTCTTTGATTTCCGCAGTTATTGTTCGCTGAGAAAAATACTAAAGCTACCAATGATATCATTCAAACATACACATTGACTTACTCATACATACACTCTTACTACCTATACAACTGTTGACGTATAGGTAGTAAGTGTTTACCCAAAATACCCACATTTACCCAAAATAATTTTGATTGTCGAGTTTTAACGTTATTTTGTGGTCAAAATCAATCGGAGAAATACAATTAATTAATAAATATCGTACCATGCCACCTTAAAACAAAAGTATCTATCAGACGATAGATACTTTTGTTTTAATAATAATAAATTTTTAAACTGGTATATTACTTATCAGCGGCGTATTTTGAGGCGTCACTATTAAAAATAAATAGGCAAGCCAGAATATACCATATTATTTTTCCAATAGTTTGCCACATAAACATGAGAAGCATTTTAATTAATATTTATTTCAAAAGTTAATTAGACGTTTTGGTTTTCCTTGTTTTGTTATAAAGATAAAACCTTCACTATTTCTCAGACTAAAATCGTAACGATGAGTAATAGTTTCAATTAAATCATTCAATTCTAAGTATACAATTACAGTCGTAACTTAGTTGATTATTGTAATTTATTCTGATGCGTTTGTTTCTACAGGTTGACATTAACATGCATAGTGCTTTCGATGTAGATATTTTTCGTGTATTTTCAAATATACAATGGTAGAACATTTACAGTGCTATTAATAAACAATGTTTAGCGTCAGAGTCAATTTACGCTAAAATTACAATATTAGTATTAGTCCAAATTCATATAATACAGAGAATAAGTAAACCTAGTACCTTCTAGGAGTAACTGTTACTCCCGTAGAACCTCGTTCTAGGGTTTGCCTTCGCTAAGTCGCTGTTTATCAATACAAATTTTGACTAATGTCAAAATCTCAGCGTAAATTTACTCCAACGCTAAACCTTGTTTATTAAAAACACTGTTACACTTTCACGTTGATTTAGGGTCAATATACTCGTCCATTAAGGATTTAGGCCATTGATACTGACACTATTGCATCTAAGTACGACAATATTTCTCGGTCAACTGTACGTTATTAATTAAAGCTAAAATGTACCACATTATAAAGAATACCATTAAAACGGGTGCGTGTGAAAAGCTAATGCTAAAACAAACGGGTAGGTGAACCGCCAACTTCAAAAGTAAATGAAAAACTACATCCGTTTGTCACGCGACCTTTTTACCTACAAACTACACTGGTGCTCACACGCCCAACTAGCAAATGTTAAAATACATCTTTCAACACTATCAGGGCCAGCCCGTCCATATAGACATACTAGGCAACTGCCTAGAGCGCTCGTGTTTGGGGGCGGCATGGTATGGTAAACAGATTATGGATGCTCCAATTGTTTGAACCTTAAAAAAATTGTTTTGTTCTTTGAACATGAGCCAATGTCCGCGATATTCATAAGTACAATATTTTCAGACCAACAGTACCTAAGGAGTTTCTCTTTTCATTGGCAAAAATCCGCTCTTTAATCAGTGTATCTCTATTATTTTACGATTTTTTTATGGGCGTCGTTCCAATGTTTTGCCTAGGGCGCCAAGTTTCATTGAGCCGGCGCTGTATCATACTCTGTAAAAAAAACTAGCGTTGAACGCAACACTGTTGCACCATTAGAGGTTCAAATAAAACCTCTATTACCTTTTGAAGTAGGTTTTATTTGATCGAACCTCTAAAACTGTAACAGCGTTGTGGTCGACGTGTTTTTAACAGAATAACAGTGCTGCAAAAATCTTACACTGGAGCGAATCTGGGGATAGCAAGGTCGATTCTCGTTCAGGTAGGCTACTTTAGGAATTCGATAGTCTCAACTAACGTTACTGGTGCACTAGTCGTACGGTTAGCGAAAGGAGTTCTGATATATTTTTATAAAATCACTTTTCGGGAAATAAAAGTATCTGTGTGTTATATAAACGGGTTCCAACGTCTGGCGTTAGTACATTAGTTGAAGAATTGCCTTGATTGGTATGATCAGTGTGGTGTCAAGTCTTATTGTATGCCAAGGGCAGCGTGTGGACCAAGTGGTTAGGACTAAATAGCTTAACTGGCCATTTGCCAGTCACAAGCCTAGAAAACGTTGAATAGATTCAACATTATAGATGTCAATTCATTTTTAGTTAAGTAATTATACTATC